CCTGCTGCTCATAGCTGGCATCCCAAGCCAGCTCTTAACCATTGCGCCATTCGGCCAGCCCTATTTTGATTCTTTACATGCACAAGTGTCCTGACTGATGTATCAGGTAATTACAATAATAGTAATAGAACAATCATTATTATTATTACAATAGGTAACTGTTGCCTTACAGCTATGTCCTTGACCACCCCCCTCACACCAACCACTGACCTAATGAGGACATAAAGAAGTGTCTCGGAATGCTGAGACCCGGTGGAATGATATTGGTAAAGCTTCCTCAAGGGGGTGTCTCGGAACACTGAGACTCGATGGAATGATGTCAGTTATCTCCCTTATCTTTATGGCTGAGATAACAGCTGCACCATCCTGGGGGTTGTGTGTGTGGGAGTATGAAGGCACAGCAGGTATTGGAATACAATAGGGCTGGCTGATGGAAAATAGTCATAAGGCACTTATCACACGGACTTTAGAAAAAACAAGTTTCACTTCTTTGAAGTTTCTCAATAAAAGCTACGCATTGGCCCGATTCGGAGCTCAGTCCCAGAGAGGCTGCAGCCCCCTGGTCCCGCTTTAACTCTATAATTGACTCTTGTGTTTTTTTAACCCTGCGCCGCCCCTCTTGCTCCCCACCGCCCTTGCTGTGCGGTACGCGGCCAGTAACATTTATTAAATGCTTAGTATGTATCAGGCACTGTTCTAAGCTTGTTCTACTAACTGCTTTACTCCTCAAAATAAATTCAGTGAGGTGGATACTATTAGCATCCCCACTTGACAGATAAGGTCCACTTCTAGGTCTTTACATGCGCAATTCCTAACAAATTCTCATAACAATAGCCAGTGTAGCCAATTCTGACAGGGGCCAGGAGGTGACTGTGCACCAGGCACTGGGCTACACTTTGTCTGTGTGAACTCATTTCTTCCTCCCAAACCTAGGTACTATTTTGACTCCATTTTGCAGATGAGGAAATTGAGTCACAGAGACTCTAAATGACTTGCCCTAAGGTCACAGAGCCAGGAAGCGGTGGGGCTGAGATTTGAACCTAGAACCCATGATGATGGCCTGTGTGTTACGCTGTCTCATTCTTGAATGACCGTCACTGGTCATGACAAATGGGGTAGGAAGATGGCTCTCACCTGCTGGACATCCTCACTCACCTGGACAGGTAACTCTCAGGGCTTCTCTCTTCTCCATCCTGGGCTCTTCACCTCGCTCCAGACGGGAGATCACGTCGGGTTTGGACCCAGGAAGCCCTGCCCCTGAGAAAGACATGAGACTTGGCCGTGGGTGCTATAGTCACAGGGAGGCCTCAGGCCTAAGCCTGGGTCTGCAGGTGAGATGCACACACTAGTTGCCTAATGATTAGACACTTTAATGTTCAATGCAAGATTCATTTATTGAGTGCCTACTACATTCCAGAGAGAGCCTGAGCCCCAACGTCACTGTTTAAGGCTCTGACTCTGTGCTGTTCAAGCTAAGTGTGAAATACACCACATTTCTCATATGGAGAAAAATATAAATTATCTCATTAATAACTTCCATATTGATTATGATTTTGACATGTGCTGAAATGATCATATTTTGGAATATATGGGGTGAAACAAAATACATTACTAAAATTAATTTCATCTGTTTCTTTTTACTTGTTTAGGCCTGTTGCCTAATTTCTCTTTTCCTATAGTGGGGTTAACAGTGTCCTCGCAAAATTATGTCCACAGGAGCCTCAGAATATGACCTAATTTATAGGGGCTTTGCAGGTATAATTAGTTAAGACGAGGTCCTACTGGATTAGAGTGGGCCCTTAGTCCAACGACTTGTGTCCTTACAAGAGGAGAGACACACAGACACATATGGAGGGGGAAGGGCCATGTAAGGTGGAGACTGGGGTGATGCAGGTACAAGAAACACCAGGATTGCCAAGAGCCTCAGGAAGCTGGAAGAGGCAGGAACAGATTCTCCCCTAGAACCTTCAGAGGAAGCACGGCCCTGCCCACCCCTTGATTTTGCACTCTGGCTTCCAGAACTGTGAGAGAATAAAGTTCTGTCTTAAGGCACCAAGTTTGTGGTAAATTGTTACAGCAGCCCTAGGAAGCTAACACATCTCCCTACTGATCATTCTGATGAGCAGACAAACATGCTGACAGCTCCCACCTTAAAGACAAGCCTTCCTCTGACTGGAGAAGAGTGAGGGAGGGAGAGAACGGAAGGTGATGAAACTGAGGACATTGGCAGGGGCCAGGTCACGTAAGGGTATGAAGGAGCTGGTAAAGGCAGCACCCAGGACTGGCCTGGTGACTGGCTGGGCAGGGGACTGTCTCTGAGATGGCAGACATGAGGAGGAATGGGTCTGGGGGCCATGTGAGCTCAGTAGAGATAAGGAAAATGGGGGCCAGGACATTCCCAGGAAGGTGACAGAGTTTGCCCTGCAAAAGTATGTGAGTGAGGAGAGTTGAGGGCAGAGCCTTTGCACCACCATAGCTTACAGGGAAAAGGAGAGCTAGAGGGGCCATAAAAAGGAAATGAGAAGGGAGAGATGTATGGAGAGGGAAAGACAGAGCAGACAGGAGGCTGGAGTGGGGTCCGGGGGAGAGGACGAGGCCTGAGCAGAGCTGGGCTGTGGGGACAGAGAGGAGGGGACATGCAGAGAGTCAGCGGGCAGGGGGAATAGGGCTGGGGCCTGATGGGCTGTCAGTAAGGGGAAGGAGAAGAAGGAGAGAGTGGTGCCTGGGGGATGTGGGCTCAACCAAGGTGGGTACCTGGAGGGAGAGGAGCAGGTCAGTGTGGAGACGCTGAGCTCAGGGTAAGTGTGGTGCATGTGAGAGGCCTCGTGGGGGTGTGGGAGGTGGGTGGGTAGACAAGTGTGGGACTCGGGAGGTACATTTGGGGAAAATTTATGTACTCTGGGGAAAAGATTCCAGGATGGAGCCTGTTGACAGGGGAGCACCTGGAGTCTCAGATTCCAGAACAGGCATTCCAGTATGGAGCCTGAGGTCACCACACGGCAAGAGGGAAGCATGAAAAGAGGGTGGGACACAGGCTGAAGATTTTGAGGGACAGGCAAAGAACTCACGGCCCTCAGGGACACTGGGATTGTAGAGAGGCCAGAGGAGAGAGAGAGGAACAGAGGCCAGCCAGGAGGTACTGGTGAGGGTATCACATGACCCCCAGTGATTGCCTACAGGTAAGCAGTGGGAGGGCAGAAGGGGGCATCATGCCTCTTCCTGGGAAGGCAGGGGTGGGCCCTTACCCAGTGAGAGAAGGTTCTGGTAGTTCTCCAGCATCACGTCCCGATACAGCTCCCTCTGGCCAGGCCCCAGCCAGCCCCACTCCTCCAGGGTGAAGTCCACAGCCACATCCTTGAAGGTCACTGATTCCTGCAAGGGCCAATGTCACACAGTAGAGGAGCACGTCCTTCCAGAATTCTGAGGTGGGAGAGGTCATGGGTCGAGAGCCTACTACTTGCTAGTTGGGCAGGAACATTCTGACTAGAAAGATTTAGAATAACTGATTCAAATGGGCCCACAGGAAGGTAAAAAATTTAGGGCAGCTGCTAGCCTACTGGCACCTTGTTAGAAAGTCTAAGGACTCCCTTTCCAATGACTCTTTACTGCCATCTGTTGGGAAATTGTTATAATATACCAATTATTTTAGTACATGACAGTTTACTGCCATCTGTGTGAAAATTGCCATAATAAATACACCAGTGTATGAGGTCTAAGATGCAAATCATGCCACTGAGATGAGGCACCCTGTGCAGTGCCTAACCTACACATCTCTATGTGGCAATTCTAAGAAACATTAAAAATAAACTATCAAGCCATTGCATGAAAAAGCCACATGCGAGTATTCCTAAATTGGACTCCATCCCAGACACCAACTCTGATCCCAACCCCCATTCCTGACTCCACGGATAAGGCTCAAGGGTGAAACAAAATAAACCACTGCCCATTTCACCTGCTAACCAAAAGGCTGCTGAATTAGATAATTGCTTTTCAGACCATGTCATAATGTTCAGAGCATCCTGCCACCTCTCCCCGCAACTCACACCTGGCAGTCCCAGAGAGCCTCCCATCATAGCCTCTCTCCCAGTAATGGGAGGGGCAGAAGATCTTCAGGCCACAGGCAGAGATGGGGATGGCCCTCCGGGGTCCACAAAGTCATCTCGGGGAAGATGGAGCCCAGCCTCACCTGGTCCTTAGCAGTGAGGGTCCTGGTGCCCATGGCTGGGTCCCTGGCATGCACCTCCAGGAGAAAAGACCAGGCCTGAATCTTCAGAGCTGGAGGAGACCGGAGCAGAGAACTGGGGTCATTTCTGGCCCAGACAGACAGACAGACACTTTCCCACAGAAGCCTCATGACAGAGGGAGTCCTGAAGCAGGAGCAGTGGCTCAAGACAGGCTGCTTGAGGTCTCTGTTCTGTAACAACCACCATCAGCAATCAGGAGGTTCAGCCTCCTGCACCCACACAACAGCTCTAAGAAAAGGAACTACAGTTATCCTCAGATGAGGAAATCGAGACACAAGAGGTCAAGGCCTTTGCTCAGGTCATAGAGATGTCAAGTGTCATGGTGGAATTCGAATCCAGAAGTCTGGCTGCAGAGCCAAACCCTTTTTTTTCTTATAATTTTTCTTATTGTGGTAAAATACACATAACATAAAACATACCATTTTCACCATTTTAAAGTGTACAATTCAGTGGCATTTGGTATATTCATAATGTTGGGCAACCATCAATTACCTCTATCTAGTTCCAGAACATCATTGTCGTCACTATAAAAGGAAACCCTGTACTGTTAACCAATCACCCCCCAATCTCCTTGGTACCCTTCTCCCCACACACCAGCCCCTGATAACCTCATTTTTCTGTCTCAATGAATTTCCCTGTTCTGGACATTTCATATAAATGTAATCATACAGTATGTGGCCTTTTGTGTCTGTCTTCTTTCACTTAACACAACATGGTCAATGTCCATCCATGTTATAGCATGTCTCAGTTCTTCATTCCTTTTCATGGCTGAATAATATTCCACTATATGGACGGACCACGTTTTGCAGAGCTCCTTCTATCTGTCTTACAAATCCAGCTTAAGGATCCTGGGTTCCTGCTAGAGACGTTGTTTAAAAAAAGGTTCCATCTGCTGAAATAAAATTTCAGAATCCCTGCCAAAGAGAGGTTGGTGTTCAGACTGTGGTCATCCCCATTTGTTCATCAAACACATTCTGGGCCCCACATGAGTGACAGGCTTCATTTTGGGTTCTGAAGATAGAGATGAGTGAGATGCAGCTCCACCCCTGCCTATAGAGGAGAAAGGCCTGGATATAGACCAGGCGAAGGGCTGAATAGTGGACCCAAAAGATATCTTTGGAATGAACTGCAATGTGATTAAGTTAAGCATGTTTAGATGGGAAGATGATCCTGGATTATCTGGGTGGCCCTATGCCTCTGGCTTTGAAGCTGGACGAAGGGGCCACACCTAAGGAATCCAGGTGGCCTCCAGAAGCTGGAAAAGGCAAGGAAATGGAATCTCTCCCCTGGAGCCTCTTGGAGGGAAGACACTCCGCTGACAGTTGATTTCAGCTCAGTGAAACCCATGTCAGACTTTTGACCTCCAGAGCTGTAAGAGAATATATTTGCATTGTTTGAAGCTACCGAGTTTGTGGTAATTTGTTACAGCAGCAATGGGAAACTAATACAGTCCAGAAACAATAAGACTCAGAGCCTTACATGTGTTTCCAGGGAAACCGCCAGCACAGATACCCAACGAAGCAGGAACACACACAACTGAAGGCTGAAATCAGCTGGTGAAATTTTGAGGTGGAAACGAGGAACAGAGTCTTAACTGTCTCCCCACAAGTCACTTATCACAAAAAGAAGAGGGTAACTTAAGGGTGTAGGAACCTGGCAGCCACCACCTTAGCCAAGTGATCAAGGTTGACATGAGCAGCGATGGGCAAACCAAAATCACAGTCTCCTGATCTGATAAGAAGGACACAGCAGCACTCCTAAGCTATTCCTGCCAAAAGCATGTAACCTAAATTTAACCACGAGGAAACACTGGGCAATTCCAGAAGTATAGAAGTACAGAAGGACATTCCAGAAGTACAGAAGGTCTGTAACCTTCATAATTGCCAAGGCCATGAAGGTCAAAGAAAGACTGAAGAGGGCCGGCCGGTGGCGCGTTGGTTAAGAGCTGGCTTGGGACGCCAGAGGGCCCCGGTTGTATCCCACATATGAGGGCCAGTGACACTGCCCTCTACAGCTAAGATGCTTAACAACAGCTCAACCTGGAGCTGGGTTGCGGTGAGTCACGGGCCACAGCGTATGCTGCACCCCCTGCTGCAGTGGGTTGCCATGTGCTACCATGTGTAGCCAGCAGCCAGCCTGATCGGCCCTCAAACCGCCATTAGCGGCCGTCCAGAAGCCAGCGACTGATCTGCCTCGCCCGGGAAGAGCGCAATGGTGGTGCCAGCTTGGGCCAGTGAAGCAACGTCCTCCACAACTAGACTGAAGAACAAAATGACAGCAACTTGTCTGTTCCCCTTCCCTCAATTCTCCAATTAAAAAAAAAAAAAAGCAAAGAAAGACTGAAGAACTGTTCCAGGTGAACAGAGACTAAAAGGGACCTCACAACCAATGCATTGCGTGATACCAGATTTTCTTCTGCCATTAAGGACATTGTTGGGACAATAAGCAAAATTTGAAGAAGGCTTGTAGATGAGCTAATAGTATCGTATCCAGGTTAATTTCCTGATGTAACTATGGTGCTATGGTTTTGGAAGAAAATGACCTTGCTTTTAGAAAAAACACAGAGACTCTTGGGGGCGTGGAGCGCGGGGGAGGGGGGAGAGAGAGAGAGAGAGAGAGAGAGAGAGAGAGAGAGAGNATACATTGGTTTAGGGCCAGCCAAGGCACGCTGGTTAAGAGTTGGCTTGGGACGCCAGCTCTGAGTAGCAGGGCCCCGGTTCAGATCCCACGTGAGGGCCAGAGACACTGTGCCCTCTACAGCTAAGATGGTGAACAATAGCTCAACTTGGAGCTGGGCTGCCATGAGTGACCGGTGACGGCGTAGGCTGCAGTGGGGCTGTCCAGCAGCTGGCGTGAGCTGCTGTGAGCCGCCGTGAGCCACCGTGAGCGACCGTCCAATGGCCGGCAAGCGACTGCCTGAGCCGGGAAGAGCACAATGATAATACCAACATGGGCCAGTGAAGGGACGTCTTCCACAACTAGACTGAAGAACAAAAGGACAGCAACTTGTCTGTTCCCCTTCCCTGATTCCCCAACACTGTTCCCTCCTCCAATTCCCCAATTTAAAAAAAAAAATACATTGATTTAAGTTAAAAAAAAAAAGGCGGGGGGAACTTATGTAAAAGAAAATGTATGCACACATCTATAGCAAAAAAGTTGACAGTGGTATATAACTGAATGAGGTTTGAGGAACACAGTTCACTAAAGCCCAGAACCCTGCCAATGGACTACTGTATCAGGATTATGCTTTGGCAACACAGTTGTCGAGTCTCAGTGGCTGAACAGAACAAAGATTTATTTTGCTCATGCTACGTGTCCACTGTGGGTTGGCAGGGGCTGTGGATAAGGTGGGTGGCTCGATCTGTCATATTCACATGAGAGATCAGGGTGCAGCCCCACCAGTTGGGACATGTGGCCTTAGTTACCACAGTAGGAAAAGAGAGCTGGAGGCTACTGCAGTTTATCACTGCCTCAGCCAGGAAGTGCAGGTCACTTCCATTCATGTCCCCTTGGTCACAACTAGTCACGTTGGCCCAACTGCAGAGTGACTGGGAAATGCCATCTCCATCCAAGAGAGGAGAAAGATGTTGGTGGTCTAAGTGATGTCTAACACTGTAAGTCCTTTCTTGACTTTCTTCTGATATTGGAAAGGGCTTATGATATTAATAAATGATAAAAGCAGATCAGCCTTTAGAAGCTTTCCAAATAGAAATAATTCTATGATTACAGAAACAAAGAAAATTCACCAAAATCTTAAAATGAGTGTTTGTTTCTGAGTTAAGTTTGTTCCTCATACTTTGTGGTATTTCTCAGATGTTCCACAATGGACAGGTACCATTTTATATTACAGAAGTAATGCATAATTACATTCTTTAGAAACATTCCAGCAATATAAAAATGTTCAGGACAAAAGTACTTCTTCCCCATCCACAGCAACACCCTGCAAGTAACTGCTTGCATCTAGTACATACTAACTTTCTGTCCTCTCTTACATATGCAGATTCTCGTATTTTAAGTATTGGGGTGCTACACAAAAGGTATTTCAAAAGCCCCTAAATGCATTTCTAAAGTCTTTGGAAAATGCCAGTCTCAGCCTGTTGTTTTTTTTTTGGTTGTTTGTTTTGTTTTTTTCTCTCATATTTTGGGATTACTTTGCCTTAAACCTTAGATGAATGGTTTTCAAGTTTTCTGCGCACAGAACTCTTTTACTAGTGTTTTCTAAAGTGTCAGAGACACCAATGTTTTGGAAGACAACACTATATTTAAATATCAACTTACACACTGAGAAAATGACTTCCTTTTCAAGTCTGTTGATGCTTCTGGTCACCTCAATGAGAATGTGGCTTTAACACCTTACATCTCATGTCTCTGATGGGCAGAACAGGACTTGACTTAGCACTTCAGGTGGAGAATGCTATCCATCAAAAATGTGCAAACTGGGCCGGCCAAGTGGCACGATGGTTAAGAACTGGCTTGGGACACCAGAGGGCCCCGGTTCAGATCCCACATATGAGGGCCAGTGACACTGCCCTCCACAGCTAAGATGNTCAGGATAAGGAGGCTACAGACCGAGGGCGTGACTGTGCAGAGTACGCTGTGCGTTCGGGTCAGACATCCCTGGATGTGATCCCAGGTCAACTACTTATTAGTATTGTGTGACCTGGGAGAAGCCGCGGAGTCTCCAGTCTCCCCAAGTCTGTTTCTTCACATTCTAAGTGAGGAAAGGTACATTCTCACTCCTAGGGGATCGCAGAGGTCCAGCACTCGGCCGGACTCCTGGCAAACAGCAGGTGCCCAATTCCTGCGCGCACGAGATTGTCCCAGTCGCGAAGATGGCTGGGTGGCTTTGAGGCCGCCTTGCGAATGACAGGAGGGGGCGGGGCGCCTTCCACGGCGCCCTACCCCCTCCAACCCAGGCACGACTTGCGCCCGCCCCTTGAGGCCCCGCCTCCCTGCGTGGCCCGGCTCTCACCTACCCGCTCCCTCTCGCGTCTGCCAGGTCGCAACTCACCTGTGCGCCCCGGTGGGTTGCGCAGGGCGGCCAGGCCTTCCCTCCCTCTGGCGGGCCGCGGAATGCGCCTGCGCGGTCGGAACTATAAGTCCTGGTACTTCAAACGCGGCTTCGCAGTTGGACTACATTTTCCAGAAATCAGTGCGGCTGGCTCTCCTCCCGGCCTGAGGTCTCTGAGGGCTGGGAATGCTGGGAAATGGAGTCTGGGAATACAATGTGGCGCGAGGAAAAGAATTCTCTAATACACAGTTGCTTTGCAGTTGGAGGAAATATGGTATTTGGGAAATGTCTGCCTGTATCGGCACCGCAAATATTCCCGTGTTAGCCAGAGTCTTTTCACTGCCCTCCATTGGAGACAGTCTATTTAATCATGGTGCTATGGTTTTGGAAGAAAATGACCTTGTTAGATTCTAATCCAAATTTCTCCTACCATACCCGAAGTCTGCAGTACAGATAACAGTTGGCCCCCATCTAAATTGATGGTGAATGAATCGAGCCTCTGTCACTTAATTAGTCAATTTCCCTGGGCATCCGCCTTCCTGTATACCTCAGTTTTACCTCTCAACTCTTAAAGGGCAGTGTGGTAAAGGAAATAGACGCCTATAGAAGGAGCTAGGTGATGTATGTCCCAGAATGCAAGAATGGGTCAGTATTAGGCGATTATATAATTCACCTATTGATATATAAAAACAATACAATCATATGCATGGGTATGAAAAGGGTTTTGAGAACATTCAGTAATTAGCCATTTCTATCTGAACTTATTAGGAATAAGACCCATATGGAACAGTAATGACAACAATTTTAAGGAGTTACTGGACTCTTCTTGTTTTTAATTATATATACATATAATCAAAACCCCAAATTAGGCTTAATTTGATAAAACACCAAAAGATTCTCCATTAAAGTCAGAAACAAAACAAAATGTCCACAATTACCACTTTGGGAACAAGTAGCAATATAGTTAGAGAAGAGAAAGGAAAGACATGATTGCCTCAGAGAAATCCAGGTTTTCATCCTTCTTTGAATATGACTGGTATCTTGGAAATCAGAGAATCAACTAGAACGCTAAGATAAACAATAGGATAATTCTGTAATATTATTGGGTACAAAATTTATCAATAAAAGCCAATAGGTAAAGCATAGAGAATATAGTCAATAATATTGTATGGTGTCAGATCGGTACTAGATTTACTGGGGTGATCACGTCATAAGGTATACAAATGTCTAATCACTATATTGTACACCTGGAACTAATATAATATTGTATAATATGTCAACTACTGAAGAATGTTACTGAAAATTAAAATTAAAAAACCAATAGTTTTCTCTTTTCAAACAAAAATTATTAGGAATCTAATAAAAAAAGGCTTATTTGGATTTTAGTTCCATCTTTGCCTAATAGATTTTAATCTTTTGGTGATCTCGGGCACTCTCTTTCACTCTCTGCACCTAGGTTTTCTTCTCTATAACCCCACATTGTAATAATGTGTGGCAGAGACTGCATAGCTCCTCTCCAAATCCTTTTCTGTACTTCCTGTGCACTCAGCTGGAATAAATTTCCCAGCCTCCCATGCAATCTGGAGTATCCAGGTAACTAAGTTCTGGTCAAAAAAATGTGAGCAGAAATGACATGCATGCCATGCCCATACCTGGCCCTTTAAAACCTCCCACTTGTCACTTTCCACACTCTTTTCTCTTCTGCTGATGCAGATGAAACGTGTGACCCTGGAAGTCACAGTTGCAGGTGGAAGGTCCCTGAATTGTCACTTGGAGGACGGCCATCTCCAATCAGAAACAAAATAAGAAAGTTATTTTCAATTATATGGACTCAGGGGATTGGTTACATAAATAGCAGTACATACTGCCCTTGAAACGTTATCGAGCCCCAAAATAATTTTGATGACCAATGAAAACATGGGGAAATGCTTGCGAATGAACATTAAAAGAAAAAACTCACTAAGTTATATAGTTTTCATGTTTATAAAGAGGTAAAATATAGGTATGCACATCAGTAAAAGCTAGATGAAGCTAGATTGACAAAATAAAATAAAGAATACTCCTGCATCCCACCCAGAATACCAGCCACAAAGAACTACTTATATCTCTGTCCCCTCAAGGCTTCTGTATTCTCTGTTCTCTCTATTTGAAACAATCCACCTCACCCTCTGCCTTCATCAGTCACATTCATGTCTTTTACTCCATTGGTTCTTACCTTCCAAATTACAGACAAGGTGACACCTCATCCACATGCCCTCCCTAATTACCAGGCTGGGTTGGAAGACCTACTCTGAGCTCATACAATGTCCTGGACTATCACCATCAAGCACATATGTATATCACACAGGGTCCTAACTGTTTGTAACCATGTCTTTATCATGTACCCTAATCCTGACAATAGTGATTCATTCAAGGAGTGGGCCCAAGACCCAAGCAGGACCAATCAGGACCCTTCCTTGGGACTGCTATATGCACTCGTTTGCAACTGTGCTGCTTACTTCAGCTAATGAAGTACTGATGAAAATGACATGTGTCATTGAGCTCATTTAACTTGCATGACCATCCTGTGAAGAAGGCATTGCTCCTCCATTTTACAGACAAGGATACCGAGAGGGAGAGTTTCTGTAACCCACCCAAGGTCCAGCACTAGTCAAGGACAGAGGCAGGATTTGAATTCAGGTCCAGTCCATATGTGCAACCACTGGGTTTTGCTGCTCCCAAGTTCACCCTGTCTCTTTTCCTTGTGTTATGATTACTGGGAATGCCCCAAACAGAAACTACTCTGTCAGCCAGGGCTCTGGAGTCAAGGTGGCATGGAGCAGAGCCTCAGCTGCCCTGTGATAAGTATGGCATCCAAATGAGAAGTAAACCTTTATTGCTGTAAGCCACTGAGCTATTGGAGTGGGGGGAATTGTAGCATAATTACCCTAGTCTGACAGCTATCTCCTAAGCATTAACGAGGCTTAAATTTAATATTGTATACAAGTCAATCAGCACAGTGCTTTGCAGGTAGTAAGGGCTCAATTACTCTAGGACCCTGTAACAAAGGCCACATAGCATAACAGTTAATCCCACCTATTTGCTGTGTGAAACTGAAAGTCATTAACCTCTTTGTGACTCTATTGCCTCATTGTACATGGGGAGAAAATAAATACCCTTTTCATCAGGTTATGAGGTTTGAATAGGTTGATATAAGTAAAGCCATTAGAACAGTATGTGACAGAAAACACCATCTATGTGTTTGCTATCAATATTATTAACAAGTCACTAATAGTTCTCACCACTTGACCTTTGTATCTGCTGTTCCCTCTGTCTGGAATGTCCTTTCGCCTGTACTTCTTTTGGAAATCTACTTTTCTTGCAAGAACAAGCTCTTACAGCCATTCCTCTGAGAAATTTCCCCCTATTCTCAGGCAGCCTAGCAGGAGGTGGCAACTCCTTCCCTGGGTCCCCACAAGAACGTCTCAGTGCCCTAGCGCTGACATTATAATTGTTGTAATTATTTGGTGACTGTCTCTCCAGCCCCAGACTCTGCGCTCTCTGGGAGCTCGCATCACGCTATACTTGATGCACAATTTAATTATCCGTTTACTGCGGAGTGCGTTGCTCCCAGGAAATTCCCAGGAAGTTAAGGAAGTGGCTGGACCAGTAAGTAGTGTAAAGACATTTTAAAAACCAAAATAACACTGCTACCCAAGCAAAATGCATTTAGGAGCCACCAGCTTGCCACCCCCAAGCTAGAGCCTTTCCTAGAGTGAGTTTCTGTGTGGCCACCAGTTTAAGTGAGCGTGAAGTTGAGCATCTTTGACGAGTCTGCAGTAGCCCCGCCCCCGGCCAGCTCGTAAGTATCGGTGACATCATGAGCTCCCGAAGCGATGTTGTCAAGGCGACCAGTCTGTCGCCACCAGGGAAGTGCACCTGCACGGGGGAGAGGAGCGAGGGGGGGAGGGGAAGGCGGGGGAGACGGTGGAGAGTCCGGAAACTACCATTACCAGAATTCTCTCGATTGCAGCCGGGTCTGTTTAAGAGGTTGGAGCCACTGCTCCATTCTCTTCAAAACCTATCCACCCAAAGCGCGCTCAGTTGCGCAGGTAATAAAACTGGTATCTTGGCAACGGGTGGCTGGGAAGTCAAGGTTTTGGCCAATCAGAGGTCGAGCTCTAAGTGCACATCTCCTACCTTGAACGACAATGGGATGATAGTATCTATGGCAACGGACTCATTTGCGGGAGGCAGAAGTTTCTGGAAAATGTAATTAATTAGGGAGTCCAGAGGGATTCTTCAACACTTAGAACTTCCTTTGCTAATATCTAATATATATATATATATATACATATATATATAGATATATATATGAGCAATACCCAGTCCCAGATGTTTCCCTGTCACCTCAAAATGGTAGCAAAATGTGTCTTGGTTGGTCACCAGTGTTGGAAAAAATTAGTTGCCAACAACTACTTTCGTGGAGAGATTTCACATTTAAAAAAATCTGAATTTCTGGGTTCTCTTGAAAAATCTAAAGATCTGAAAACACTGGGGCTGTTATTACACCACAACTGCAATAGGATGGAGCTGAGTATTTTCTATCCTCTGTGAATGGGACCTGGAGTCATTCACTTTACCTACCCCCATAAGATATTGAGGTTTCAATCCCAGACCCTGAGAAAAACTGCCAAGCTCCCTTCCCCTGTCATTTAAAGCCCTTTGGTGCATGGATCAATACTATCTTTTTGTAGGCTTTTTGGCCCCAACACTACTAACC